GCGAAACTTAACAAAGAGCACATTTTATTCCAGAGACGGTAAAAAGTGGTAGTTATTGTTCAACTAGACATTGGTAATGTGCTTCATAACCTGGGAAGAAGAGTGTCAAAGCATTGCTACTGCACATTACGTTTTCAGATATTTGTGGAAAAGATGAGTCAGAGAAACAAGGATAAATCCTAGATTTTTGACTCATGCATTTGGGTAACCCTGTTCACTGAGATGAGAAAAAAATAGGTGATCAATATATTCGAGTGGGATGGGAATAAAGGTTTTCTTTGAACTATTTAAAGTTTATGATACCTATTAGATAGTCTAGATCTAATCAAAGACGTTAGGTAAGCAGCTAAAGGTGCAAGTTTGGAGCTCAGAGGAGATATTGGAATTATTTATATTAATTCAGTTGTCATCAGAATATAGCTAATATAGCTGCTTCAGAGGAGAATGTGGAAGGAAAGAGTATAGAGAGTTTTTACTCTTTTTTGGAGATGATTTGCTTTTCTTGGGCATGAAATTTCTTCTTTACAAAATAAGTGTTTGAAGAATATTACTAGAAATTTCCAGCTTCAGTACTTTTTATCTATATGATCTCCATTCGTAAGTTACTGTTTTATGTCAAGAAACGTTTCTTTTACAAACCTTTAAGGAATTGTACCCTTGGACGAAGATCATTTTGCCATTTAGACTTCTTATCCAGTTATCACAGCATTATTCATTCTGGCATTTTTCTCCCTCGTGTTTCCTTTAGTACATCAGAAGTATAGATGACACCAAAGGAACTGACTGGAACCAAATGGCATTGTTTCCGTAATGCACGTTAAAAAATTGTTATATACAGTGTCATATATGTATCTATGTCAGCGAGGTTGTAAATACTGACCAAATCTGATTCGTGGATGAAATGATGTGATTTCTGGGTACCTCAGTGACCTCAGAGATATATCCGTGGGTCAGATTTTAGAAGGTTTGCTGTTAAAATTTACATATGATAAATTCTGTGAACACTCAGCATTTTGTCAGTATTAGAGATTTGCTGGGACATACTTGCTATCCATGGGAAATTATATTCCAATAAATTCACATACAATTTATCTGGCCTTTGGCTGCAATAATAGTGGTAATATTGATCTCTTACTTTCAAAGATGTTGTGATTTTGTCTTGTTTTCCTTTCTAAAATACTTCACTCTCACTGACACATGTTAATATTCTATTTAAATTGCCAATGGATTTGACATTTGTTTAGTCATTATTGACTTTCGTAAGAGGAGAGATTTTGGTTAGTGTATATGAAAGCCTAGTTATTGTGAATTCTAAAGCAAATGGGAAAAGAAAAATGAAGACAATGAAGAGAGATAACCCAAGCAGTTTTATTGTGAAAGAATGTGCATAATGGTTTTGGAGGGGGCGTTCAAGTGAGGTTTTATTTTAGACGGATGATAATACTGAAAGTGTACAAATGAGACTACTCCAGCAGAGAGGGTAAATGTGTGATGGAAGACAGAGCGGATAACTGCAGGAGTGGATAAGATCAGGGCAGTAAGCCAAGGGGTTGACTGAGATTGGAGTGCAAACATTGCTTTCGTTGTAACAGGAGGAATGGTGAATGGGACAGTTGAGTTAGTTCTCTGCTCTTGGCTTTTATTTTCTCAGTGAAATAAGAAGCAAAGGTATCAGTAGGGAGTGAGAAAAAGATCTGGATATTAGAGGTCTGAGGAGAAAGGAGGTAATTTGAAATAGTCATTCAAAGAGATGAACTAAACTAACTGGAGAAATATAGGAGGATTGCCAGGTAGCACTGAGGACTCATTTGAGGGTCCTGAATTTGAAGAGAAATACTCAGCATGATTGCAATTTGTTTGTTTATTCGTTTCCTAGTTTATTCAGCTGCTTGGGTTTGGCAGAGATTTAGTATTAACCAAGATTAGAAGTCTTACTTTTGAAAATGACAGGGGAGTTGAAGATAATGTAAGGGAGTGATTTTTAATGATGAAGAATTGAACTTGTCCAGCAAGGAGGGAAGTGAAGGAATGAAGTCAGGGAGGGGGTGATGGGCAGTGAGATGTGGTTGGTGGAGTAGTGTGGAGCACCCTCCAGAGATGGGGAATGGTTGGGATCAGAATGTTCTGAGGATGAGCCAGAAGAAAGGAATGATGTTTGAAACTCTAAGGAGAGTATAGTTACCGATAAAGACCAGGTCTAGGATGTGGTCCTGGCATTGGCAGCTGAGGTAGAGCAAAGGACAAGACCACTGGAGGTTAGAAGGTCAAGGCACTGAGAGGCCATGTTGGAACATGGAATGGGAAGGAGAGGAATAGCAACAGGAAAGTGGTTTTACTCAGTAGGTGGTATTTGTAGCTTCCTATTGGTTATTAAATACTTCCTGTAGTCGGACGTCTAGAAGCTGGATAAGAGTCACCCATTAGTGAGAAGAGACTTTTGACATGGCATTTCCTGGATGCTGGTCATGTGCTCTCTGGCTAACCTTCATGAATGGCCCTCAGTTTCTGTGCTATGACCGCATATCTCATGCACTTTTTCTTTTCTCTTGTCCTCAGAGAGGCTTTTTTAGGCAAAATATTTTTAACACCTCTCAGTGGTGTCTGTTTGACTCACAAATGTCATTGGCCCACCAGCTTTGATGACCTAGCTCCCATGAACGTGTCCAGCCAAGCTTTGGTAATGAGAGGGAGAGTTTCTCCAGCTCAGCAAGCATCTATTCAGAAAATGAACGGCAGCAACCTTCTTGCATATAGACTCTCTCAGGGGCTCCTGCAGCCTCCTTCACCTGACTAATACCTTTTCTTAGATACATCTCTTCTCTCCACAATATTCTCTTACCTGCTCTTGTATGCTGTGTAAGGCGAGTGATGTAGGTAGGTAAGGATTATGGGACTGACTGATGATCTCATTCATTCTCTCTCAGAAGAATGAGTGGGTGTTTATAACCCAATGTCCTTATCCCTGGTGTCCCAGCCAAAATTGGGACTTTTCCATTAAAATTCTACTTGTTTTCTATGATATTCTTTTCCTAACAACCAGTTAAATGGAAATTCTACAGTTGTATAGTCAAAGCTCAGGAAAATTACATTGTCTCTTTCCTCCAAAATCTCAGCAGTGTGCAAGGTATTTTGTATTTAAGACATGAAGAGCTGATGAACATTCAGAATTGGTACAAAAATCCTGCAAATCATTTCCTAAGCAGTATTTAAAGACATTTAAAGCATGATGGGATGAATGTTCTCCTAATGCTGACTGCCCAAGAACAATAGAAGTTAGATTGTAGGAATAAAATATATTAATAATTAAATTTGCTTTTTTAAATTTTGATATGTGAATTTTGATTGATATATAATCTGTTAGCTTGATTATATCTCACTTAGGATTGGTGATGTTTAGGTCTTATATATAGTTTACCCTGTTATATTTTATTTTGCCAGAATCTTATTTTCAACCCAAATATATTATAAGCTGTGTCAATCTAGCCAACATCATCTTCCAGCGTTCTCCTTGTCTTCGTGGGCTCAAACCCCACGGTCTGTCAGTGCACTGGGCCCTTTTTCTAGTCTACACACAGAGCCTTCTGCCAGAAATGCTCTTTACCTTTATTTCTGCCCCTCACATGAATCTATTCCTTTCTATCCTTTGTCTTCCATGTCTCAGCCTAAATATAGCACTTCCTCAGTGAATCCTTCCTTTCCAATCTACATTCCACTCCTATGCCAACTAGTATGTACTCTTAGTATGTTTGTTTCTTTTTCATTTACCATACCTGAATACAAGAATGAGTTTATTTATCAATTTGGTGCTTTTCTAACACACTAACCTATAAGCTCCATGAGCGCAGGGTTGTCCACTGCTTAGAATGGTGTCTTCAGCATAGCTGGCACTCAGTAAATATTGATTGAACAGAGGAATGAAAACTCCCAAAAATTCTACCTACAGTAAAATTGAAGGGCTTCATCAGCGAGTACAAGGCCATCTGAGGTTGTGCCAAATGGAAGAAAGTCTCTAAACCTAAAGAGGTTTAGACACCCTGCAAAGTTTGAATTCTTATGTATTCTAACTCACAAGCATGTATCTAGTTTTAAAAACATAGGCGTGAATGGGAGATAAACTTGAATTTTACATAGAAAAATCTGTGTTCATGATTTTAGTGGTGATATTTCTAAGTGTGCTGCTTATTACAATAATTGGCATGTTGCTTATGTGGGCAGAAAACTGAACAAACACTTTTGAAAACACAGTTTACGATCTGTAGATGATCAGTCAATAGGGTAATTGTCAAAGAAAACAAAAAGCCTATGTGTGATGAAATCATCTTGAGAAAATTTTCCCAATTTATTGAACTTTTATACTATGGTATTTCGTTATTGTTTAATTTAGGTATCTTTTTTAATCAGTGAGCAGTTAATTCATGAACTTCTGAAGATTAAGTATGATTTAATTTACGAGATCAATAAAAGGTCTAAATAATAATTTTCATATTAAAAAATAATTTCTTGTTTTCTTCCTAATTAATTTCCCTTTGGACATGTTCATAAACATTTTTAGTGCTGTCACTTTTTTTTAAGTCCTGCATCTTTTTTCAACTGCAGAATTTCCAAATCAATATTTCTATGTTTTACAAGTATATATAAAAAAGCATTTTATCATTTGTCCACTTAGGTATAGGAAAATTAGCTAGACAAGAAGGATATTAACATTTGTGCTTCTGTCTTTTACAGTGGTTGATATTTGCTGAGAAATTAGATTTTTGAAAACTTTTCATTGCCTTTCCATTATTTCCTCTTTTGAGAAAAAATTTCCCAGCTTTATCAGGATTAAATTGACTCAGTACAACCTGTCCTTGTGAAAGTTTCATGGTCTCCATAGATAAAGTTTATTATTTACCTCTTTTCCACCATTTTCTAAGCGTATTAAGAGTCAGAAATCAAAATGTATTTTGCTGCTCTGATCACCAAGAACTACTGAATTTGAACCCCTGAACGCTCTCTTCTAGCTGCTTTCGAAATCTATTGAACAACTGAAGCAACCAGGCAGTCACCTGGAGGAAGCTGAGGAAGAGCTTCAGGGGGACCAGACGATGCAGGAAGACAGAGCACCCTCTAGTGGCAACAGCACTAGGAGCGACAGCAGTGCTTGTGTGGACGACACACTGGGACAAGTTGGGGCTGTGAAGGTCAAGGAGGAACCAGTGGACAGTGACGAAGATGCTCAGATCCAGGAAATGGAATCTGGGGAGCAGGCTGCTTTTATGCAACAGGTAATAGGCAAAGATTTAGCTCCAGGATTTGTAATTAAAGTCATTATCTGAATATGAAATGCACTGCAGGTTTTGATAAGTGGATATTATTTCTTATCCGTTTATATCTCTGAATGATTTGATTTTAGTGTTTAAGGATTTTAACTAACGCAGATATATCTGTATATAGATCTCTATATATACTGATCTCTATATAGATATCTAGGTTTCACTGAAACTCCACTAGTATGGAAATACCTGTTACACTAAAATTTTACTACATAAGTATCCAAGTAATTACTAGGCTTTAAATCATCCCAAAGCCTGCCACACCAATTACTTCTAAGGAAAACGAACTCTCTGTTGTTTTAGTTTATCTGTTGAGATCAGTGACTGCTAGATATAATTTCCCAGTCTGATCAATGAAACATTCTATTAGTTCTTGGTGTTTTTTTGATATATAGAATTCAGTTTTCACATCATTGTACATAATGTATCATACTACAGTCTTAAACACTGTTAAAGGTAGTCTGCCCCTTCCTCTCTCTTTTTTGTTAAGTGAAATGTTCTAGTTGCCATGCCAATACTCCTAGGTCACTATATAGATTACAATTGACAATATTAGAAATAGAGGTGGTTTTAAACATATAGATGCCAAGTACAGCACTATTTCAAATATTACCTTATGTCTCACCTAGCACTGCTGATTTTACTTTTATCTTGTTATTTGATGACATTGTCTATCAAAAAAGATCAAACGAAGCAGATGAAATCGGATACTATATTGTATCTACAATTGTAGAAAACACAATTAACAGTATGATTATTATCTGATATGATGTCAGAATGATGTTTAAAAGAAGGTGTATTATGTTTTATAATCATTATCCCTAGGATCTCTTAAGTATAATTCCATAATGACATGGCATATACCATACCATTTCGGCAGATAAAAAGTTAGGAAAGCGAGGTTCCACAAAAGAATCTGCTTGTACAAAATGCACCTTCGGAAGAACTGTGTCCTTTGATGCTATGAAATACAAACAACTTCGAAGGCAATAGAAGACTATGTTTATTTAAGTCAGTTCTTTGTCAGGTTCCTGCTGTTCTACAAAAAACCGATTCTATGAGGCTGACCAGGAAATGCCTTGTAGAAACAGGAAGTCCAAGTGATGA